ATTCTGAAAAAATTCTGCAAGAAATTCTTCAGATAGCAGCATTATTTTCATTGCTTTCCGATTTTCTTCCGAAATTTCGTAAAAGAATCGAAGTGTTAACAGTTTATTTTATTTGAGAAAATTCGTCAAAAAATCGATCTTTACGAATTCTTTAAAATTTCTCTACAATTCAGAGTACTTTGGAAAAATGGTTTACAGGGAATCTATTCTCTTGGCAATTTCCAAGAATAATCAGATTACTTACTTACCAAAAGCTTAATGATTTTTGGCGAGCCTTAGTCTTTGGAAAATATAAACGATATCATTTTTAAAACTACAGTAATACGATGCTATTTTTATCAGCTCCTTATGCGTTCAAACTGCATAATGGACATCAAATATTCAATCATTCTGTTTAATATTTCTAGACATAATGGCCGAAGCATTGCCAAACAGGCGATTTATTCCAAAAGACAAAGTTTTCATCGAGAAAGCTTGGGATAAGTTCTTTGAATTCTTTGATGATGAAAACCATACAGACGTAACATTCTTGTGGACGAACAGTCAACAACGGTGAGTTACACAAAACTTCTTTGTACACTAAACAAAAAAGATTAGGCCTCAAAACGAAATTCAAATTTTCATTGCCAAATTTCAATATGCTTTGGGTATTTTTTTCCGTTCAGCATTACAGCTCATCGCCTCATATTGGCCGCATCGAGTGCTTACTTTAATGAACTCTTCCAAACGCCTCGGGGCATCGTGCCAGCGATCTATATTGAAAATGTTGCACCACAGCCTTTTGAATTACTTATTGCATATTGCTACTCGGGCAAGCTTTATCCCACAAAGCATAATGTGTGCGAACTTTTGAATGCAGCAACAACTTTGAAACTTTGCGGTGCTGCTGCTATTTGTACAACTTACTTAAAGGGCAGCACGGAAGACCCACAAATGAGCGTTACGCCAGTGAACCCTTCAACAAGTGGATCCATGAATGCAAATCCAGGTGCCCCAGTAATCACAACCAGCCAGGCTCCAAGTAGCGTGCCGTTGC